TAGCCATTGTTTAACTTATCTACTGTCTCTTACTGAACTTTTATTCCTCTGAGAATTGCACTTCAAGCAGGTCTGATTATTTGTCTTAATGCTATTTGTGATCCTGTTATTTCTTCCCCCCACCTCCTTTCCTCGCCTTGATAATACATGTTCAGGTTTGGGGTACTGCCAGGCCTTTCCCTGAAATGACAAATTTTCTTTTTATTCCTCTCACTCTGTTTGTAGCCTTCAGTCTTTAAATTATTACTGATTTACTGATTTGTACTCCTTTTACTACCATTGTTCCACAAAAACATCTGTAGCTGAATAGACATTAGTGCATGGGCCAGATGCAAAGCCAGTGAGCTCTTTTAAGTCTTGCTGAAGTGGTACATGGCTTTGAGGAGGATGCAAGGGTATGATTGGACAGACAGGCAGATGGCCCAGTTCCTCTGTTTCTGTGTCAGCCTTGTGCACAGCATAAACAGCAACTTGAGGATGTTCCTCTGTTGAGTTGCTCAACTGCAGGCATTGTGCGTGGACTTCTCCCCACCAAACTCCTGAAGACATTGCCTGAAGGGCTTTTCTGTATGTTTTTAGTTTTCTATACCACACATTGGGTTTTGTTGTCTGCTAGGTCATGTGAGGGTGAACTCTAATGTGTGCTCAGTTGTGATAAAGGGAGACATTTTAGAGTTTTTTCCTCTTGGAGAAATTAAGCTTAAATTCAGTTGTGTGACTAAACCCATCTTTCTCCAAAGACTTGATTCTCACTTAATTTGATAGGATTTTGCATTGGTTTTAAAAAGTGAAAGCTGCAAATGCTGACAGAGAGTTATTCCTGTTACAGAAGGATAACAATTCTACTTTTCTGTTTCATGTCCTTTCCTCCCTCAGTTTAAAGTTTCCATCAGATTTACAGTTTAGTATAAAATATTACTTATAATCAATAAAGTACTGAATAGCCTTGGTTCCTTGATATAGAGAATTGCTTGGTCTTGTATTGTTAGCATTCTACTTCCAACTACTCTGTTCTTTCGCAAACTTAGCCGTGTTGCAAGAAGCTGCCACAAGATTTGTCACTGACAGGTATGATAGCTGTTACAAATACTACATTTTTCTAAAGAGAGATTCATACATTAAAATTAAAATTATAAACTAAAAAAACCCAAGCAACCTGATTCTATTTTTGTACAAACATTTGATCAGTCTTAGCATTTTTTTTGCCATGGATAGCCTTAGGATAGGTAATAGGAAGCAATACTTATGAAAGCTCTTGTCTGCACTGATGTAGCCTGTAAAAGCTTGTCTGTGGTGGATTATGTCTTAGGAACTAAGTGTATGAGAGAAACCAGCTTGTGATTTCGGTTCCTGAGCGGACACTGCTGGACAGACACTGCTTAATATTGTTTTAATTTGCCTACCCTGTGAGGAGGCAAAGTTCTGTAAGATACCTTTCCTTCTGACCTGTGACAACCTGGGCGTCACGTAATCTGTCTTTTGACTTGCCAGTGCTAGGTTAATGGTTGGACTCGATCTTAAAGGTATTTTCCAACCTAAATGATTCTATGATTTTTGAATGGTTTATGTAAGATCAAAAACCACTGCAGCAGAATTTGAGGACTGCATACATCATGTATGTTTGATAAAACATACAAATATAAAAATTAGATATAACTTCTTCTCATGACCAGTGGCTCTGTCCCTCACAGTGCTGGAAAACAATTTTCCGCATTCACGTGACAAATGGTTGTGCTGCACTGATTTGTCCACATTTATAGCATACTTTGAAGACAGTCCAAAATACCTTGTGGTTGATGACCTCTTGGGCATGTTGAAAGTGATATTTTACTTGACAGGCTGAGATATGTGTTTCAGGGAGAGAATGTAAATACCAGTAGGGTTTCTGTGTTGGTACTGTTTGCAGGAAGTGTTGAGTCTTACCGTATTTAATGCTGATAGGTTGTAATTTAATAAGTTTGATTGATAAGTCTCATAGAACTTTTTTTGTATTAGTGGTTAAGAAACCACAATTAAGTACATTTAGGACTGGAAACAGGGGTTGAATAGCATGATTAGCAGAAATAGCAGTTCTTGTGACTTTTGTTTCCCATATTACGTTTTTTAGCAGTTTTTTTTAAAGGTCTGTGTTCTGGTATCATCTGAATAAAGCAATAAAAGAAAGGACTTTTTGTAAATACTGTATTTACACCCATTGAAGTTAGAAAAGAAAACCTTGAAAATGAGACTTCCTAAGGCTTGAAAATTACAGAAATCAAATAAAAGTAGATGTATTTTCTGAAATACATTCGGAAGTTGTATATAGGGTTATTAGCCATTCTTCTAAGCTTAAAGACACAGACCTGACTGGTAATATTTTCTTTATTTGTGTTTAAAGGTCGATTAAGGTATACAAGCCCATTTTGGGCTGCTATAGGCAGCCAGGCTAAGTGGTGTACGAGAACCTTTGTAGACTAAGAGGACTGCATCTTGTCCTTGTGTGTAATTCCAAACCATTCTCCAGAGATATCCTTCTGAAGGCTCTGGTGTTATATTATTGATGCAAACTGCATAACAAAGTCTGATGTCCAGAAGCATCTGAATTATATTGCTACAATACTTACAGTGGAAAATGTTTCCAAAAGAGACTCAAGGATGATGTCTTTCCTCATTTTAGATTTGATTTGATTTGATCTACCTGTAAACAGGATATCAGAGTAAAGACCGCGTCTCTACAAGGTCTGATGGAACCAAGTGATAAAAAATTGGGAGACTATTGGGAAGAAGTGTGTTGTTCAGAACTTGAATTTTGTTCTTTCACTGGTTGAAATTGCATTTCTAATTATAAACAGAAATACACGTAGAAAAATAAACACTGTGTACAAATCCATTCTCTTTAACACTAACAGTTGCAGTTATTGACTATGTTTTATAACTGGACAATCTATGGTTTTGTAGGATGCCGAGAAACGAACTCCTCTTCACGTTGCATCGTTCCTGGGAGATGCAGACATCATTGAGCTTCTCATTTTGTCAGGTAAGGTAATTTCCCATCCCTCACTGTTAATAACTGGTAAATCAGCTAATTTTAAAGGTACAAGGAATACCCAGCAAAGTGTATATGAGTGATCTTTGGACAGTGCCTATTTCTGTGTTTCACAGAGCTGGTTGCAGTTGTGGCAAGCTTAGAAAATATATTTAAATTTGGTGATACAATTGTAAAACATGCACTGTGGAATTAATAAACAAAGCAACTAGTTTTTAAAAACTTCTAAAGCATTCAAACTGACAATATTTGTGGATTCAGGAACTTACTTGCTGAAGTACATCATTGAAATGTAGGGGCTCCCATCCTGGAGTACAAACCAAGAATTCCTGTTAAGCAAAAATTATTGTAGAATAATAGCAAAAATGTTATGAATGAGTTTGAATGGTAAGTGGTATTTACATTAGAAACATGATTCTAAGAGTTGGGAAGTTGATTTGGAGAATAGAAACTGTGCAGTAGGAGGTATCCAAACAAACAAACAAACAAAAATTTCCAAACTGTTGTAGTGACAAAAAACATGATCAAAATATGTCAGAACAAAGCATAAAGCAGACATCTCTCAAGAAGAGCAAGTAATTGATGGCAAACTCCTGGATGTGCTTGCGGATTTCAAAGACAGTGTTCTTCTAAACTGGAGAAGTGTTAAAGGGTAAAGCTTATGGGGATTTAAGAATGTGGCATTGAAAGGAGCCTTATGAAACAAACGTCTAACCCCTTGCAAGCAACCTTGCTATATGACTGGTTTCACAAATTATTAGACTGCTTCTTCAAATGAGTTGCATATGTTTTTTAGAAAGTTATTTCAGAACTATCAGTCCTGTGATTGTGAGGCACCTTCTGATTTCCGACCTTGAATTTTTGAATAATTCAGGCTGGAAGGGATTTCTGGAGGTTACCTCATCCAGCCCCCTGCTTAGAGCACCAGCCAATTTCAAAGTTACATTGGGCTGCTAATGGGCACGTGCAGACCACACAAACATATTTCTTTGGATTACCAGCCTAACCACACCTGGAGAAGGCACAAAATGGGAATTCAATTTGCTGTAGCTATGCATTTCCTCTGTACATTTTTGGGGGCATTTTGACTTGTCTAATTGCTTGATGAGGGTAACTAGTTGGACACACATCATACATCAGATCTTTCTCTGCTAACCCTGATGCCAGCAGAATGATCTAAACGAACATTCCTCTGCTGACAGGTTATGCTTGGGTGGGTTTTCAGTATGCTAAATGCAAACATGATTTTCTTTGCTGGGAGGTAAGAGTTAATAAACTTCATCTGTGCATGTGTTCTTGCAGTGTGTGTTGTTTGTCACATACTGTTGTTCTATTGTGGTGTGAGAAGATTGCAGAAGCAATGTCTTTTCTCAGGTTTTGCAAGTAACAGCACAGGCAATATCCACATAAAGAGAAAAGTGAAGCTGTTTTGCCCATTTCTCCAGTGAATCCCAATAGTATCAAAAAATGTCCTGGTGAACATTGTTTTTTTCTATCACGTTCCTAATGAGGGAAGGAGACTTTCTAGTGTTCTTCCAGGACACAGTTCCAGCACTTCACTGCCAAAACATCATCCACGGGCTATAGAGATTGTCTGGTGAACAGCATAAAATGCAGGTAGTATATCTAGGATTTTTTTGATATATCCAAGTGAGTGTGAAAAACTTACAGTGTGGGCTTTTAAAAACTGGACTTTGTGTCAGTGGGACTGTGCTGGGGTTCAGTCTGCCAGAACTCTGTGGATCTTCCCTAACTAGCTCAGCATGAGTCAAAATTAGTCTTGTGTTGCATATTCTACCTATTCATTGCGCTTTTATCTCTGAAATATCATTACTCATGATGATCATCAGTATTTGTATCCAAGAGCAGGTTTGGAGGTTCATGAGGTTTGGAGGAGCAGATTTATGAGTTATTAGAAAAATCTCTTTGTTAATGTGATCTCTCTGTGAACTAAGTTCCAAAGACAACAGCAGCATCTTCCCTTTGCTTCACCTCTTAATTCAGTAAACTGTTGTCCTGGTTTGTATTAGTAAAAGTGTGTCACAAAAGATTAATCTGATCATAACATTTAGTTACATAAGCAGAAAAACTTTGTTGTCTGGCTTAAAATGAGAGGGTGTTTTCACGGAGAGAAAGCACAAAAATGCTTGCTGTTGGCGTCAAACAGTAATATTCTCAGCATGAATAGAAGCTAGGAGGAGTAGCAACCCATCGCATTTTGTACAGGGCTCAGGAGAGAAATGAAATGAAATACATACATTCTGAGATTTGTGGCCCATGAACTGGTGGCAGCACAAATATATGTAGTGTCTAATGAATAAAACTTCTGCCCAGGTGGTTGGAGACAGACTGAAAATTGCTTTCTAGGTAGCCACTGAAATGGAGTTTGATACAGGAGAGAGAGTGCCAGATTCTTCAACTGATATGAAACACCCTGGCCCATTAGATGTCAGAACTAGGTAGATTTACACCAACTCAAAGGTCTGATCCATAATCCTATGATTCAAACTGGGGAAATGTGCTGTGTGGTTTTGTTTTTCCAGGCTACATGAAAACAGGGAGCTTTGAGCACTTCTCCTTCACCTCCTGTCTGTCAAGAAGGAGAAGGACCAGGGTAACTGTCTCACATAAATGAAGCTCTATATCATGACACAAACATGGATATGCAAGAAGAACTGTCTGGGCAAATACAAGCTCCATTCTCATTTGTGCCAGTGCCTCTCCCCGTGCTGGGCTTGAGCTGGTTCCTGAGGGCATAATGTTTGAGCTCAGTCCTTCAGCCCTTGTTCCCCACCAAGGAGCTTGCGATTTTGGCAATATTACCATGCCTTACTATTTCAGAAGGCTCTGAGCTTCTTGGCAAGAAGTTTATGCACTGGTGGTGTGCATGCATTATTGACATCCGTCCTTCATAAATTATAGAATAGCTGAGGAAAAGGACAAACCCCAACATGCTTTGGAAGGCTTCCTGGTAAGCTGTGCCACATAGATTTGGAAGTGAGACTGTCACATGTACAGCAGGTTCTGGGCCATCCCTGTTGTGTTGGCAGCAGGGGAAGGCTCTGTGTAACCTGAACACACATTCAGGGCTTCCTCTTTTATAGCAGGCTGGAGAGACAGCCTGCTCTCTGCTATTCCCACGGCTTTGACACTCCTGTCCTTGAGGATTAGGAGTATCCCCTTTGGGTGATGGTCTGGAGGATGTCCCAGGACTATCTCCTCTCTCCTTTGTGAGTCATCCAGGACCTGTGTGCTCTCACCTGGTAGGATCCCAAGGCCGTTTCCTTCCCTGGCAAGTGACTTGGACTTGCCTCTGAGGAGATCCTGCCTAACCTCCTGTTTCTACCATATAGGTGTTCAGTTACTGTATTTACATCTAGCACAGTGTTGTTTTGCTCTCATGTTGCAGGTCCTAATTCCATCCATCGGGTTGTCCCACTCTGTTATTTGTGCTGATCTTTGCTTGGTATTATGTGTCTGTAAGTGTGGGGTGACGTGGGGGGGCATTCCTTATATTTTTGTGTGTCTATGCTGTGTCTCAGCAGGAGTTGGAAAGGTGCATGTTTATATTGTCATTAATAGCTAGAGTTTCCTTCCTCCCTTGACCATTGCTAATTTCAGAGATTTAGACTGCGGAATCTGGATTTATTAGAGACCTGTGGATTTGGCAGATGTGCTGGATGGAAAATTGTACTTTGATTAGGATAAAGAGATGTTAACTTTATTCCTGAAAGCCAGCATCAGGTTGTTTATTTCAGATCTAAAAAGAACAGAGGCAATTTCAGATTCGTTTCCTCTTTTGGCAAAAAAATTTGAGAGTGAAAGGTTACAAAACAGCCGTATTAAAGAAGAGTGGATTACAGAAAGTTTCCTCTCTGTTGATTTTATCTCTAACATTGTATGTTATGTTGTCTGCTTCCGCCTCACAGAGCAAATCCAACAGCCAAGGCTTTCCTTCAGGCCCATGCGTACGAGCTCTCCCCTGAGGGCAGAGTGCAGAGGATGGGGCTGAGAAAAGGCTTTTCTATGGAGAGGTTTTTTTATAAGTGGATATGTTATGGGGTGGGTGGGTTCTCTGCCTGCCTGAAAGGATTTTAAGGGAAATCTTTAAAGCAGCTTATCTTTTCAAGGAAGATTGTACTATGAAGGACACCATATGCACCAATTTGACTGTGTGACCAGCCCTCTATGTCCTTATAAATACATAGATTAATTCACGGACAATTGTAGAAAGTGCGTCAAAACATGGTGAAGGTACTTGGTCCAGGGACACTGAATTTCTGGGTGACTTTGAGGAAGTGTCAAGTGAGGACTTGAAAATTTAAGCTTCTGATTTTTGATTGTAGCTCATTTTAGGTGCCTTAGCATGTTGTAGAACGCTTAGTCTTTAGACTTGCATTCTGTGTTACTCAGTGCTTTCAAAGAGCTGACCCCCAGGCTGTCACAGGATGGATGCTAAAGTTCGTGAAGTGTAGAGGACACCTTTGAAAACAAAAGCATTGCTTCCCTGCTGCCTCCACGTGATCTCATTTAAAGCAGCAGATATTTTCTGTCCCTGAAGGAGTGCATCAGTGCTGGTGAAGTTTTTTCATTTGAAAAGTCTCTTCAGAAAATGTGCATCTCAGTAAATGCACAACAGCAACTCCTGTAACAGACAACAGCTGAATTGTGCAGCTCTTTAAAAACAGAAATCACAAATGTATTCAGCTGATGCATTGAATTAGATATGTAAGGGCAATTTCACTTTGTCACATGAAGAACCCCAAAGCACAGAGAGGTAAAGGGATGTGGAAAACAGCTGAGGAAGAAAAGGCTCATAGTATGCTGGGTATTATTTTATTTATACTGTACCGTTTTGCTTCTATTATTTTCTTTAGCTGTTTTCTTGGCAACTATTTCTGTTTCTCAAAAGGTAAGTGGATCAGTGAAAGGCATGAATAGCTACTGACGGAGATACTTCCCTAGGTTTTCTAGTCATCTTCATATTCACCAGTGCTACTGGAGTTGTTGAATACTGAGGAATGATATGTTTGTCACACTTTGCTACTCCACACATAAGCCTTTCTGATTTGCAAGCATCTGCTTGTAGGAGTTAGTGAATGGGTGGAAATAAACCAAAAGAGACCGTAGTTAAGAACATAAGGCAAAAAAGCAAGACAAATACAAAAAATTTTCTAAACCCAAAATTATTTGGTGGCAATCATTAGGAATTCGTCTATGCAATTTGCATCCCCAAGACCTTACCAAATCAGTATAATGTAAGGTACCTTTGAGTCCTGTCTGTCAGCCTCCTGATGGTAGAGAAGTTTGTTGCCTAAGAAGTTGTGTCTCTAGAGCCTTGGGCAGTGTAGGCAAAGGGCAGGATACTGATGTCTATCAACCATAATGGCCTTCTCATGAAAACAAAAGAAGCTAACAGCTTCCTTGCTTAGACAGATTCATTAGAAAACTCTTTGAAACTGTTGTCTTTTCTAAAAGGTGTTTTTCCAGAGGGCAGGTTGTACCACCAGGTACCAGGTTCTGAGGTGAGTTCGGAGGATTGCGTCTAATTGTTGCAATAGTTATGAAAGTGGCTTTCCTTTTCTTGCAGCCAAAAAATTATATCCCATCTTGTAGAAATATGAAAGAACTTGTTTCTTTTCTGATTATCTAGCACAATTCCCAGTAACCACTGTGATTCAGAGGCAAGCACCTTAATATTCCTGAGAAATGGCTCTCGGAAAGTACTTCTGATTCAGAGAGTGTGATTTATTAATTACAGGTTTTTGTATGTACTTAAGTTGTGGTGCAAAATGAAGCTTAAGAATCCCTTTGTTCATGAATTTCAGAGGCTCATCCAGGCTATGTGCGTGACATTTGTGCTTCTCTAAAATTTTTCTCCATGTACTAGTCTTCTCAGAATAGTACTGCTACCTGCAGACCAGAGAGGTGCAACATTTTCAGATTAAGCCCTTTTAAAATTAGTTTCTCTGGTCTTTTTCACTAGATTTCGTTTCTGAGGTATCACGTCAGTGGATAGCTTTAATATTTCTTTCAAACAAATCTGTTTTATTACACAAATGTACAGGATCCTTTTTTTTTTGCCCGCGGTCAGCCAGCACCACTGTAGTTAAATGCTCTTTCTTTATCCTTTATTCTGGCAAGCCACTCCAAACCCATCTTCTTGCGCAGCTGTCTTTGTCGGAGTGCA